AAAACCAAGGTGGTAAAACACAGTCGTGACAGTGGTAGAGTGGTTTATCTAGACAAATTTACGCTAAGTAGTTTGCCATTGTATTTAAACGGTCGACTCTCGAAACCAACGCCACGCGGTCTGCTGCCAGATCGCCTGCATCTGGAATCAAACCCGCCACTCGGCATTACGAAGTGCGTTTGCAACGCCTAAGCCGCAGACGCCGATGCGAAGATGCCATATCAAGCATGTCGCAGAAGGCGACTAATTAGGGGTGTTTCCTTTTAAGTTACGAATAAGTCATATCTGTAAAACGGGTGCGCACAGAAAACTGAAGTTCTTAACTAAGACCTAAAGGCAGAAGTAGACAAAGTTTATCGCTGATGAACACACTGATCTATCTATCTATCTATCTATCTATCTATCTATCTATCTATCTATCTATCTATCTATCTATCTATCTATCTATCTATCTATCTATCTATCTATCTAATCTATCTATCTATCTATCTATCTATCTATCTATCTATCTATCTATCTATCTATCTATCTATCTATCTATCTATCTATCTATCTATCTATCTATCTATCTATCTATCTATCTTTCTATCTATCTATCTATCTATCTATCTATCTATCTATCTATCTATCTATCTATCTATCTATCTATCTATCTATCTATCTATCTATCTATCTATCTATCTATCTATCTATCTATCTATCTGTCTGTCTGTCTGTCTGTCTGTCTGTCTGTCTGTCTGTCTGTCTGTCTGTCTGTCTAATCATCTATCCACCCACCATCCATCCACCTATCACCCATCCACCTATTTAACCATCCATCAATGCATCCATCAATCCATCCATCCATCCATCCGTCCAGAAATACTTTAACAGCGGGTGGGACCAGACAACGCATCGATGGATCCCCCACCTAATACCCTACACGTCAGATGAGCTGAGATAAATAGCCACCATGCACGTGCGCGGGCTGAGCTTGTCCTGGGGTCATAAATTAGAGAGTTTGGGTATCAGGCCTAGTCTTTGTTCGCGCCGACAGACACCTGGTAGATGGCCAAACCTGGTCTCTTTGATGTACCTGGTTTCATTTTTGAAAACAGCAGGTAGTTTCTAGATCTCTCTGTCTCTCTCTCTCACTCTGTCTGTCTGTCTGTCTGTCTGTCTGTCTGTCTGTCTGTCTGTCTGTCTGTCTGTCTGTCTGTCTGTCTGTCTCTCTCTCTCTCTCTCTCTCTCTCTCTCTCTCTTTCACTGCTTACTAATCCCCATGTCCCATCTCTCTTTCTATCTATAAACAGTTTTTAAAAAAACGCAGTTATACGATAGCACGTTTTTATTAGTTGATGAGAAAGCCTGTACGCCTAAAAATTGTCGATGACCCAGATGCAAAAGAAATGTCAAATTTTTGGTTGAATCATAAGGTATTCTTCTTGTGTACAATTTGAATAATTTCACTTCTGAAATTACTAAGATTTTGAATGGCAAAATTATAAGAAAATTAGAATCATTTTATTAGCTATTACTAGTCAAGCACCATCTGATAACTACGCTTTTCTGACCGCATCAGCCACCGAGTTGCGTTTGGTAAGTGTACTGGTCATACAGGGCTAGGGATATATTTTATAGAGCAATCAGCACTCGGTGGATGATGCAGTCAATGTCACAGCCGGGCTGCCTTTACTTCCCTGGACTTTACCTGGTTCCTATTTATGAATGGGTGGACTTGGGAGACACAGTTATTCTTGTGGGAAAAAGTATAGTTCCGTCAAGACCTGAGCCAACGACGTTCGGATCCACAGCGAATTTTATCAAACCCAAGCTAAGCAGGGGGAAAAGGGGAAAAAAGGGGGGGGGGGGTATTGGCAGCCCTCATCCACAGGCAAGCGTCTAGTCGCTACAGCACGGCACATCCCCCCCCCCACCCTTTTTTCCCCCTTCTATATTATTATCTTGTTTTTCTTCTTGAAACAATTAATAACCGAGACAAAAAATGTCTTGAGGTCTCAGAGATGGGGTTTTACAGAAGAACCTGCAGAATTCGATAGACGCCCAACTATAGAACCCATATTTCTGTGTGAGAAAGAGGCGAAGGCTCAAAGACAACTTATCACAAACATCTGAAAGAGACAGTCATTATTTGTTGGTTATGTTATCAGAAACAGGAAACTTGAATATATTGTGGTGAGTGGAAAGATCTGTGGAACAAGATACAGGGAAAAACAACGCCAGAGGAATTTTTACAGCCTTCTGTCGTGTCATGAAGGGTGTATACACACGAACTGGAACATGCTTCTGAAGATCATAGACTGTGGAGAGGTATGGTCGCACACGAAAGTCAGCAAGGCACTTGAAAATGATTTCTTCTGCCTCTTCTTGTTTCTCTCCCTTTTTTTTTCCACGTTTTTACGTCCTTTTTCTGCCCCTCCTCCTCCACCTTCTTCATTTTCCCCCTTTTTCTTGTTCTTCTTCTTCTTCTCTTCTTCTTCTTCGTAATCTCACTGGTTAGCTTTTAAAAGTAATGACCTCAATTATAATGATGATATAAACTTCTACATTTGGTCAGCTATCTTTTGTTTTACAATTTCAAATTCACAAAACAATTAATATTAAAAATAAATAAATACACCCACTTTACGTGGCCACTTTTTTACCCCCGGACCTTTAACAAAATATGCCCAGCAGCTTAACCACGACAATTATTTGTGAGAAAAATATTTACAGACGGGCTTCACTTGTCCCTCTCCGCCTTGCTATTCCAGTGTCAAGTGCATCAGTGCGTAAGGGAAATTGATTTACAAAATACCTCTCCGGACTGGAATAAATTCCCATGACAAAACTGCGCAAAGGAGACGTTACAGAAAGATTGTGGACGATAATAATATGGACCAAATTGTTTTTACGACTGGTCTGGTTTTTATCTTCGGCACCGGATCTGCACTAGCGATGACGTTTTATGTCATCTCTAATCATCGTTTTCCTGTCATGCGCACTCACAATAATTTTCCTTTTCCGGATCCGCTGCAAGAAGGGGTCAAAGTTGAAAGATCCTGAATGGTGGTTCCCCTTGATTTTTTCGATAGTTTTATTTGCAGAATCCAGAGATAGCAATCGTAAAACCTCCAGTTTAGTCCCTCTGGGACAAAATGTTTTTATTCTTGTCCATTGGTCCGCCATGGTAGGTCCGTATGGCGGTGACAAAGAATTGTTTGGGCCGCAATTATCAGACAAACGGCGTCTCCGCCTTTGTTGACCGCTGGGCCTGTGTTGTGTTGATGATATCGTTAAAATAAACAAGAGGATGTGTTTGTTGTGTCCAGCTCTTGCTCGCTTACAGCCATTGTCCATTCTGCCTTTTATTTTATTTTTTTAAAGTTCGTTCTCAACATTGGCAGGGCTGAACTACACGGGCAGATTTAATTGCGCAGTTCAGTTTGTAATACTTGGTTACTTTCAAGTTCACAATTACGTTTTAAAAAGCTTATCCTTAGTTAATATTGTTTATTGTTGTTTCGCTATGTCTTCTTATCCCTCTTCCTCATCATTACCATTACTTTATCACTTTTGTCGTCATTATTATCTAATACTACTACTGCTGCTGCTACTAATGCGGATAATACTACTATCACCACAACTGAAGCTACTACCAATACTGCTGCTGCTACTACTACTACTACTACTACTACTACTACTACTACTACTACTACTACTACTACTACTACTACTACTACTACTACTACTACTACTTCTTCTTCTTCTTCATCTACTGCTTTCTTCTTCTTCTTCTTCTTCTTCTTCTTCTTCTTCTTCTTCTTCTTCTTCTTCTTCATCTGCTTCTTCTTCTTTTTAGTCTCCTTCTTTCTTAACCTTCTCATTCTCTCCTTCATCCAGATTGAATTATAGGCCTCTGACCTACACCAAACCATTTAGATACTTGTTCCTTTTTGTGCCAGTTGTGCAACTAAATTTGATTGCGTGACGATATGATAAAGTAACCTCGCTTAGTCATCTCTCACGACACACATGCTGATATGCAGGTTCGTGAAATATGACAAACCGTAATCACTAACGTTTTCTGTGTGGGTAAAGGTGTCCTAATTTGGGGGAAACGGGTGGGGAGAATAGACCACTGGCTAGCAAGTCGTAAAACTTAATTAACTATAAGTGTTTCCTTCAGTGTCGGAGGGCATCTGCCTGAGGCCGGGATCCAACAGTCTACACACAAATAAGCACACGCGAAACTCAAGTTCTGAAACAAGTCAAAAGTCCAGAAGTGGACGAACAAACAGAACTTTCAGGTGGAGTTTACAGTCGGTAAAATGCTAACACGAAGATCGGCAACATTTATCAGCATTTCGCGTGACGATTACTTCTTCTTCTTCTTCTTCTTCTTCTTCTTCTTCTTCTTCTTCTTCTTCTTCTTCTTCTTCTTCTTCTTCTTCTTCTTCTTCTTCTTCTTCTTCTTCTTCTTCTTCTTCTTCTTCTTCTTCTTCTTCTTCTTCTTCTTCTTCTTCTTCTTCTTCTTCTTCTTCTTCTTCTTCTTCTTCTTCTTTTCTTCTTTATCTTTTTTCTTCTTCCTTATCTTTTCTTCTTCTTCTTCTTCTTCTTCTTCTTCTTCTTCTTCTTCTTCTTCTTCTTCTTCTTCTTCTTCTTCTTCTTCTTCTTCTTCTTCTTCTTCTTCTTCTTCTTCTCTTCTTCTTCTTCTTCTTCTTCCTTATTCTTCTTTTCTTCTTCTTTTCTTCTTCTTCTTCTTCTTCTTCTTTTTTCTTCTTCTTTATCTTTTTTCTTTTTCTTCTTCTTCTTCTTCTTCTTCTTTTTTTTTAAAATCTTTATCTTTTCTTTTTCTTTATCTTCTTCTTTTTCTTCTTCTTCTTCCTCTTTTCTTTTTCTTTTTTTTCAGTAAGACTCTGTTTTGAAAAAATGTGTAGCAAGGCTTGATCTCTTTTTAGTTGCGATCCAAGTTTCAGAGCCATACAAAACATGATGATTTACCCCTTTGTTTTTCTCAGACGTTTTGGTACAAAGTGCGCCAGCTGCGACAAAGGTATCCCGCCAACAGAAGTGGTGCGGCGCGCACAGGAGAACGTCTACCATCTCGACTGTTTCGCGTGTCTGATGTGCGCAAGACAACTCAACACTGGGGATGAGTTCTACCTCATGGAGGACAGAAAACTCGTCTGTAAGACAGACTACGAGGCTGCCAAAGCGAGAGGTAAAGTATAAAAATCTGTTTACTCAGAATGTTGGGAAAATAACCACAGGACAAATAAAGTACTTGCGTTCTATGCTAGGTGTAACACGATCGACCTAGGAACGACGATACCAGGAGAGTCGGCACAGAACCATTTCTGAACTTTCTCTGTAGACAATAAATCAAATGGTTTGGCCATGTAACGAGACAGGAAACCATAGACAGCAATGTTTTACAGATACATACGACGTGAAAGACGAACCCTTTCCATATATCTCTTCTTTCCCTGACACTGAGTGGCATTCCAGGAGTAGAGAAAAGATGAAGAAAGACACCACATAGGGTTTGCAGTGTATTTTACTATCCTCTTGTATCCTGTGGAATCATTTTTTTTTTATTATGGATAAAATCCAGTCCAGTCCATGAGGTAGCTACCAGTTACTAGTACTACAGTGCTAGTTGTGCGCGCATATTCTTAACACCGAAGTGACAAGGGGGCGGAGGGATCTAATGTGATCCCCTCTACAGCCTTATCGTCTTCTTTCACCAGCATTCTTGTTAGGGGTTTCTTTAGGACGTCCTCGCTTTCTCAGTCCCTTTATTTCTCATTTCAGTGTCTGTTTAGTGATTCTCTCTTAGTTTCTTTCTTTCTCAGAAATTGTTAGCTATAGCGCAGTCATCCCTGTCTTATAACTGTTGATAATAGTGATTGCCCAGACAATTCTCTTATTTTTCTCACTCCTCTTGAATCTATTACATTTATGTACATCATTTTCCTCTGGCAAGTGTGTGTGTTTAAATATGTATTTGTGTGTGTGTGTATGTATATATATATATATATATGTATGCGTGTATGTGTGGGTGTGTGTGTATGAATATATATCTGCGAGCCATCTAGAACAGCGAAAACAGGCCAAAAACGAACCGCCAAGTAGGTTATTTGTCTACAGACACTGTGCCCTGCCCTTACTGTCCTAGACTCTTCCAGTATTGGACTTATGTCACCTCCGGACTCACAAACATTCAACTGCAGTTTCATGACGGATGAACGAAAGAGTGGTCCTCATCACTTGTGAAAGACCAACGACCGAACGAACGAACGTGTGTGTATATGTATATGCATATAAATATATATCACAATTTTCGTGACAGTGTTTGACTTTGTCTAAGCTGAACGCTGTCACTCTACCAGTACCGGCTCTAATGGCCGCTCACACTTTCCACAACCGAAGAAACATTATTTTACTATTTATTAACACTGCTTACTATTTATTACAAATACACCTCTCGGTTTACATCTCAAACATAGCGAAAGAAAGGCTGGTTGCACTCTTACACCATCCACGTAGAAAGTGTAAATATTTTTTAAGTTACCAGTTACTAGTACTACAGTGCAAGTTGTGCGCGCATATTATTAACACCGAAGCGACGAGGGGAGAAATCTAACGTGATCCCCTCTAGAGCCTTATCGTTACCTGCTAACCTGCTAGTCATTGTCCTGTAACACACAAAAAACGATAACAACCGTCAATAACAAGTTGCAAGCCACAACATATTAACACTAACAACCATGTTTGTTTCACCTCAGAATACGAAATGGACTCGTCAAACAAACGCCCTAGGACAACAATCACGGCCAAACAACTGGAGGCCCTGAAACGAGCCTACAACGAGAGCAACAAACCCGCTCGTCACGTCCGAGAACAGCTGAGTGCCGAGACAGGCCTAGACATGCGCGTTGTACAGGTGAGACTGACAGACAGATCAATCAGCTCTAGGGGCAGACATGGGCAGGCATGATTGATGTACCTGATGTTTCTGGCATCAGATCGTTTCATTCATTCATTGTCTGTGTTTGTAAACTGAGTAAATAGTATTTTAGAATAGTCTGCTCCAGAAGTTGTGCCCGACTTTAAAAACTGTCCTGTATAAGCTGTTGAGATTTGGCATGAAACCTGGTAATAATTACGTACTTGCAAAAACTGTTCTTTATAAGCTGTTGAGATTGGCATAAAACCTGGTAATAATTACGTACTTGCAAGAATTGTTTTGTTTTTTTTATGAATGTAAACAAACATGTAGGTTTTTTTTTGGGGGGGGGGGGGGAGTGGGGCAGGGAAAAAAGGGGGGGGGGGGCGCTTGTTTATCGATACACAAATTATAGTCAGGCAGAGAAATTGGCAGCTTTAAGTAAAACAGCAGTTCTTGTGCACTTGTAAATTACAAAATCATAAGAACATAGAAAATCTCAGGCCATGTGCGAAAATTCATTTTGATCAATTACATGAGTTGTTGAAATATTTTGAAAGCACGACTTTCGAAACGCACTGAGCAATAGTGGCAGTAGTAGTAGGAACAGAAGGAGCAGCAGTAGCAGTAACAGCTGCATCATCATCAGGGGTGTTCATTGTTGGTTGTAGCAGTAGCAATTGTTGCTGTAGTAGTAGTAGTAGTAGTAGTGGTAGTAATAGCAGTAGTAGTAGTAGTATTAGTAGTATAGTAGTAGTAGTAGTAGTAGTAGTAGTAGTAGTAAGTAGTAAGTAGTAGTAGTAAGTAGTAGTAGTAGTAGTAGTAGTAGTAGTAGTAGTAGTAGTAGTAGTAGTAGTAACATAGTAGTAGTAGTAGTAGTAGTAGTAGTAGTAGTAGTAGTAGTAGTAGTAGTAGTAGTAGTAGTAGTAAGTAGTAGTAGTAGTAGTAGTAGTAGTAGTAGTAGTATAGTAGTAGTAGTAGTAGAGTAGTAGTAGTAGTAGTAACAGTAGTAGTAGTAGTAGTAGTAGTAGTAGTAGTAGTAGTAGTAGTAGTAGTAGTAGTAGTAGTAGTATTAGTAGTAGAAGTAGTAGAACATTTAGTAGTAGTAGTAGTGTGTATTAGTAGTAGTAAAGTATAGTATATTAGTAGTAGTAGTAGTAGATTAGTAGTAGTGTAGTAGTTAGTCCCGTAGCAGTAGTCAAGTAGTAGTAGTAGTAGTAGTAGTAGTAGTAGTAGTAGTAGTAGTAGTAGTAGTAGTAGTAGTAGTAGTAGTAGTAGTAGTAGTAGTAGTAGTAGTAGTAGTAGTAGTAGAAGTACTATTAGTAGTAGTAGAAGTAGTATTAGTATTAGTAGTAGTAGTAGTAGTAGTAGTAGTAGTAGTAGTAGTAGTAGTAGTAGTAGTAGTAGTAGTAGTAGTAGTAGTAGAAGTGGTATAATTAGTAGTAAGAGAAGAAGTACTTGTAATAATAATAATAATGGTGGTGGTGGTAGTAGTAGTAGTAGTAATGGTAGTAGTAGTAGTAGTAGTAGTAGTAGTAGTAGTAGTAGTAGTAGTAGTAGTAGTAGTAGTAGTAGTAGTAGTAGTAGTAGTAGTAGAAGTAACAGCAATAATAGTAGTAGTGGCAGAATTAGTAGCAACAGAAGCAGTACTAGTAATAGGAAGGATTTAAAGTAACAGCAGTAGTAGTAGTAGCAGCAGCAACAACAGCAACAACAACAACGACAATAACAACAGCACACAAATTTGTAGTGCAGCTGGTCGTGATGGTGGCGATGGTGGTGATAGTAGTAGTTGTAACATTAGGATCAAGGTAGCAGTAATAGTAGCAGCAAAAGCATTCGCAGCAGCTGCCACACGAGTAACACATTTAGTCAGTATGTGTGTTTATATAATATATTTCAGTTAAATCTATAGTGTTTCCCGCATATTCAACAGGTCTGGTTTCAGAACAGACGAGCCAAGGAGAAACGGCTGAAGAAGGATGCAGGCAGACAAAGATGGAACCCTTACTACAGACAAATGAAGAGGGAGGGTGAACAGGATAGCAGTCTTAGTGCAGATGAAAGGAGTGATGATGGTAAGCACGATGTCAGGCTGAACAATGAGACAGGGAATTGTGTCTTCATTGTCCTCTTCTTAAGCTTCTTTTTTTTTCATCGTCTTCTTTTTTTTCTAAAATTTTCTTATCCTTCTATTCTTGCTGTTGTTGTTGTTGTTGTTGTTCTTCTTCTTCTTCTTCTTCTTCTTCTTCTTCTTCTTCTTCTTCTTCTTCTTCTTCTTCTTCTTCTTCTTCTTCTTCTTCTTTTTCTTATAATCATCCTACTCTTGCTGCGGGTGTTATGGTTGTCGTTATTGTTGTCCTTCTTATTTTTTCTCTGTTGTCTATTGTTTTCTTCTGTCTACCGGAGTGTCTAACCGCCTGTCCGTTGCCTGTTTATTGATATGATTGTCAGTATGTATGTTTATTTAACAACAATCTAACACTCCATCCATTTGATGACTACCTGTCTGTCTTTCTAACAATATGCGAACTATATTTGTTCAAAGACCTAATAATTTTCATTTGTTCTTTCAGGAAGCTTAGATGACCTTGACAGTGCTGGAGGGCTGTCCGGAGGGCGCATGTCAGGAGACAACTACAGCCTAGACTCAGACCTCTCTTTAGGGCCCATAGGATCAGGACCGCCCGGAGGCCCCAACGACGGACCAGGTCTCGAACCGTGGTCTCCTTACAGCAGCCCTTTAGGTCCCAACGTTCCACCACCACCTGCTCACGGACCTTTGTCAGGCAACGGACCTCTCGGCTCCAACATAAGCCCTGGGTCTATGCCGGGCGGCCCACATCACTTTATGGGCCGCCATTCTCCGGGAGTCCCGCTCTCCCATTCACAGATGATGCCGTTGGACGCCATGTCCGGCATTCCTAGATTACTTCCTGCAGGGGAAGACAACTCTCAAGGATATATGGATTATCCTCCTTCATCTAATCACAACCACGTAGAAGTTTACTGACAATAACCTTGTTGCCATAGTATCAACATTCTTTAAAAAAAAAACTATACTGGACTTAATTTCACACAACAAAACTATATTCTGTGAAGTCGTATAACTTTGCCGCATCGTGCTGCCCTTAAAACAATTAAATTATGGTATTTGTACATATTAGCATAGTGTCCTAATTCAACTGAAACTTCAGATACCACTGTCGGGTGGAGATGTGTTAACACACAAAAACGGGAGAGAAGAGGGGAGGGTGGGGGTGGTTGGGGGGGGGGGGGCGGGTTTATACGATAGTAATGTATCCTTTAGAGGACTTTGCCGAACCAAGCCCAGCAATCTGTGGCTCTTTGTGATTTTAGTTGCAGCCGATGTGGTGTAGTAGGCTAGTCTGCAGATTTGAACGTCCTGAGTTCAAATACGTAAAAAGCAGGATTTTTTTTTTTTATGACATTGGCTTCCAGGTCGACCTAGCCTTCAATAGGTACCAGGAACAAGTCAGGGAAAGTGAAGGCGGTCAGCCTGATGTCACCCACCTTGCTCTATAAAATAGTGGTCTAGCCCTATATGCCTAGTAGGCTGAGGGCGTGGGAAAAGGGTCCTTTACTTTACATAAGGATTTTAGCAGGCAGTTTTACATTCAGTAACACCGAAACACATCGGGATCCAATGGTCTGAAACCGAACTAACGTCCTAAGAACAGGAGATAATTTAACACGAGATCCCAACGTCATCGGCGGCCGGGTCGCTGATTGGCTCGCCGATAGACGAAGTGGTCGCCAGTCAGAATAGTATTTGGGTCCTCCTCCCTTGATCGGAAGTCGCCGTGGCGGAGCGGTTAGACGCTCGCCGCGGATCGGAAGGTCGCGGATTCTCTCCCTGGCGGACTTGACTTTTTTTTTTTAATGACCTTGGCTCCCAAGTCGACCCAGCCTTGAGTGCGTACCGGATACAGTCCAGTGAAGCAAAGGCGGCCGGTGTGATGCTGACCACATCACCCATCTTGTGCTGATTGGTTTATAAAAATATAGGTCTAGCCCTATATGCCCTATATGCCTTATATGCCTAAAAGCGTGGAAAATGGCCCTTTACTTTTTTTTTACTCCCTTGATACACTGCAAGAGTCATTTTTATATAAGGCTACGTGGTGGCGAGCAATGCCAAGCCACTTTACATAGCACACATAATCTAGTCACAATTATAATCTAAAGCTCTCCCTTTGGGAATGTTGGTTGAACGTGACGATTGTTTTATCAAAGCCAGCCAAGCCACTAGAACCCATACCTCCACGCGATACAAAACATTTGCAAACATTACCGCACTCTTGTGAATATCAAAACACTTGCGAACATTACCGCACTCATGTGAATCTTAAAACACGTGGGAACATTACCGCACTCTTGTGAATCTCAAAACATGTGCGAACATTACCGCACTCTTGTGAATCTCAACACACGTGCGAACATTACCGCACTCTTGTGAATCTCAAAACATGTGCGAACATTACCGCACTCTTGTGAATCTCACAACTAGTCATTTGTAATCATTATACCATATTACGTTATGCCATGATGCTATATAAATATTAAAGTAAAGCCTCGTTAACATGAACCGACTTTACACAAACATTTGGTTAATGGGAACAACATTTTGATCCCAGCAGCGACGTATTATTCATAAAACAACAATTATAGTGCGTTTCGAAAGTCTTGCCCTTATATTTTAGCAAAGATGTCGAAAATTCCCGTCCTGGTCAACACAAATGTTTGCACGTGACCTTAGATTTCCCATGACCATGTGATTTTATAATTTACAACACAGGTGCTGTGTTTTCTTCAAGCGGCGAATTGTTTTTTCCATTTTGTTTGACTAATAAATGATGTACACTAAAAGATAGAAAATACAGTAATTGACAAATGCCTTTAGATTGTTTAGAAATCATTTAAAACTTGCAGCGATTCACGGTGATTATTTTGGTAGCCTATCCCACATACAATAAAAAATGTTTTCCTATAACTCAGGGAAGGCTTATGCTGGAGATGACCACCTGAAAGGGAAACGCCTATGAAACGAGTGGAATCTGATGTTTGGGAAAGTTCCTGTTAGTCAATGAACTATAAGCATGCTAACTGTTTGCCTTGAATCAGTGTCTTTTTTTTTTCTAACGCAAATAGGGTAAAATGAAAAATATGTCTTTTTTTTTCTTTAAAACAAGAACGTGATTATTAACAGATTGCATGCCAGATTTCAACAGCTTACACTAAACGGCTACTAAGTTACAGATTTGTTTTTTAAGTTGGACACGATTTCTGCAGCAAACTATAGTAAACGAAATGTTTAAAACATAACTCTTGATTTTTCAATTCCTGTGAATTCCTGCTAATGAGGTTTTACTGTATATCACACAAAATGTAAATACTGAAAAAACAGATTAATGTGCAATGCTAAAAGAAGAATGAAAGACTTATATTTATGTCAATTATTTATTTTGTTTCGTGTTACTCATTGTATATACTTGTCATTTGCTTTCTGTGTCCCATCCAACGCGTTTTGTGCGATCAGATAGGCTTTTATTTGTAAATATAGACCAGATAATGTATATATCTGGCCTTCTGTGCTACTGTATCCAACGCAGCTATATACATCTAACTCATCCCACTGTGGGGTGCAATTTTTCTTTTTTAAAGGGCCCACCCTGGCTTGTGCAGCTGCCCTAAAAATAGCCGGGCCTTTAATATGGCCTAACGGCTGAATGGGGTTTCTGGTACATCTCCACGGGTGATCCTCTTCCGCATGTTGGCACTTTGTGTCACCAAGTGTTTATCGCTTGTTTGATGTCCTGGTGGGGTGCAACTTACCTACCTTACCTACCTGTGGCCAACTCAGCTATGGGGACCAAATGTCTACGGGTTAAGTAGCCACTACTTGGGTGCCTTTTGTAGTTAGCAGTAGTTTAACAGAGCAGGGAACTCATTTGTGCTGGCAGTCGAATATGTTGCCGGGGACTGAGGACAATGTCTGAAGCCATGTGCATGGGGAAAGCAAGGGAAAACAACCTCAGTATTATCACAAGAAACTCCTCGTCGAAGCTAACAAATAAACTCAAATATCTGATGCTGAGGTCCCTAGGCCAGGTAAATCACAGAGATCTGATGGTGAAGTCCATAGGCAGGCAGATTACAGAGATCTGATGGTGAGGTCCCTAGGCCAGGTAAATCACAGATATCTGATGGTGAGGTCCCTAGGCCAGGTAGATCACAGAGATCTTATGGTGGGGTCCATAGGCCAGGCAGATCACAGAGATCTGATGATGGGGTCCATAGGCCAGGCAGATCACAGAGATCTGATGGTGAGGTCCATGTGCCAGGCAGGTCATAGAGATCTGATGGTGAGGTCACTAAACCAGGTAGATCACAGAGATCTGATGGTGGGGTCCATAGGCCAGGTAGATCACAGAGATCTGATGGTGAGGACCCTGGGCCTGGTAGATCACAGAGATCTGATGGTGAGGTCCCTAGGCCAGGCAGATTACAGAGATCTGATGGTGAGGTCCATAGGCCAGGCAGATTACAGAGATCTGATGGTGAGGTCTATAGGTCAGGCAGATCACAGAGATCTCATGGTGAGGTCTATAGGTCAGGCAGATCACAGAGATCTGATGGTGAGGTCCATAGGCCAGGCAGATCACAGAGATCTGATGGTGAGGTCCATAGGTCAGGCAGATCACAGAGATCTGATGGTGAGGTCCCTAGGCCTGGTAGATCATAGAGATCTGATGGTGAGGTCCCTGTGCCAGGCAGGTCATAGAGATCTGAAGGTGAGGTCCCTGGGCCATGCAGATCACAGAGATCTGATAGTGAGGTCCATGTGCCAGGCAGATCACAGAGATCTGATGGTGAGGTCTATAGGCAGGCAGATCACAGAGATCTGATGGTGAGGTCCCTAGGCCAGGTAGATCACAGAGATCTGATGGTGAGGTCCCTAGGCCAGGTAAATCACAGAGATCTGATGGTGAGGTCCCTAGGCCAGGTAGATCACAGAGATCTGATGGTGAGGTCCCTAGGCCAGGTAAATCACAGAGATCTGATGGTGAGGTCCCTAGGCCAGGTAAATCACAGAGATCTGATGGTGAGGTCCATAGGCAGGCAGATCACAGACATCTGATGGTGGGGTCCATAGGCCAGGCAGATCACAGAGATCTGATGGTGGGGTCCATAGGCCAGGCAGATCACAGAGATCTGATGGTGAGGTCCATAGGCCAGGTAGATCACAGAGATCTGATGGTGAGGTCCCTAGGCCAGGTAAATCACAGAGATCTGATGGTGAGGTCCCTAGGCCAGGTAAATCACAGAGATCTGATGGTGAGGTCCATAGGCAGGCAGATCACAGACATCTGATGGTGGGGTCCATAGGCCAGGCAGATCACAGAGATCTGATGGTGGGGTCCATAGGCCAGGCAGATCACAGAGATCTGATGGTGAGGTCCATAGGCCAGGCAGATCACAGAGATCTGATGGTGAGGTCCCTAGGCAGGCAGATCAGAGATCTGATGGTGAGGTCCATAGACCAGGCAGATCACAGAGATCTGATGGTGAGGTCCCTAACCAGGCAGATCACAGAAATCTGATGGTGAGGTCCATGTGCCAGGCAGATCACAGAGATCTGATGGTGAGGTCCATAGGTCAGGCAGATCATAGAGATCTGATGGTGAAGTCCCTGTGCCAGGCAGGTCATAGAGATCTGATGGTGAGGTCCCTGGGCCATGTAGATCACAGACACGAACGCATGAGCGCTGACGGGAAGAGAACGATGGCGGAGCAAGTAAGGACAGTGAAGATGACGTGACGGCCTTAAGATTTGAGTACAAAAACACAGTGAAAAGTTCAAAACCTGTTCCTGAATTTAAAGAAAGCACAAAATAATGTCGGCAGACTGCATGTCACCTTAAAAAAATAATAATAAATAATATTTTCAGTACATACCACAGTCGCTTGTGGTTCTAGAGGTCTTTAGTT